TAATATTAAAGTCAGCGCTCAAATGGCCACGCTATATCACGCTTACCGAATGAGCCTCGTGAATTTGTCTCCACCTGCATTTCGATACCATTTGGTGAAAATCTCACACACGACCGAGCGCTTGGCAGCTCAGCCCTGTCCGAAGCACACGTGACCACAGTGCCTGCCCTCGAATGCCTTCTTTTAGTTGTGGAGGCCTTTCCCAACCAAATTGCAACTTTAAAGGCACTTATTCATATTCTTAGGTTTTTTAGGTAAAGTCACGTAGGTAAAAACATTAAAATTAATAAAAGTAAAATAAAATTAAAATAAAAATCACGACGTTTCGGAGGCAACACAAGCTTCCGTCTTCAGGTGGAACCGTCACAGCCACGACAGCTGTATATTTTTTTTACTTGATACAGCTGTCGTGGCTGTGACGGTTCCACCTGAAGACGGAAGCTTGTGTTGCCTCCGAAACGTCGTGATTTTTATTTTTATTTTATTTTACTTTTATAAATTTTTTACCTACGTGACTTTACCGAAAAAACCTAAGTATATGAAACCTTGCAGTCACGAAAGCTTCAAATCTTGATTTAAAGGCACTTGCCTGTCTGTCTGTCTGTCGAAGTTCACTAGCCCGTACCTGCCCAATATAATTCGTCGCTCCCAGAACTCGTGTCGCTCACACCTCCTGGCACTGATCGTGTCTGTGACACGCGCACGTGTACGACCGCTACCCGCCGTGGTGCTTCGGGTGGGGTTCTGTTCAAATCCCAGTCGGGGTCAGCGCAGACGATCATCCCTCCGGGGTCGATGGGTAAACATCAACAGTGGTTGTCCGATGAGCATACCGGGTCACACCATGGGAATGTGGAGTTTCCTCAATTGCACGAGGGCCACGAATAGGGACGGGCACTTGCCCATTTGGTTGTTTGAATATGGCAGGTCCTTTGAATTTGAAATGTATTGCATGCATGCATGTCTGAAACGTGCTATATATTTAAAGTAAAGAACTACGTGCAATTATTTGTAGAACTACGTACATTTGTAGAGTGTGGATAAATGTAGGACGTGTGTTATGTGTTGTGTTCCACGTATTTTGCTTTATATTTATCCATGTAATATTGCATAACATTGACATGCTGTGTATTTTAAAAAGTAGTGTGTCGGTTGTGACATCGGATTTAATGTTAAACTGAGTCCACGTCAGTGGCCTGTGGTAGCACAGCCCATTTTAAGGTTACCATCACATTCGTCTGGACGCATGAGCAATCTCTTCACGTTCACAATCTCGTCACGTTCACAATCGGGCTCTGGCACAGTCAATCTTTGTAACCAAAAATCTCATTGTCCCAAAACGTGCCCCGGCATTCCCACGGAAGAGATAAGGACGCATACGTAGAGTAGTGATCTAGAGGGAAGGTTTATGGGAAAACACTGGGCTTACTGATCAGTGGTGGTTATGCTTTTAGGTAAATTGGCCCCCGAGTTTTACTCCAGTGAGCATTACGAAAAATGTGCTCGCGTTCAATTCCTAGTTGGCCCAGCCACTTGCACGACAGGCAGGTGAAGGCCCACCCTTGCCTTGAGCACGATTGTTGCTGCTCAGTCGCTCTTGTGATTGAAATGCGTTCGAGGAGGTGGGCTCGTTGTTCATAAAGGTCCCTGGAGATGAATTTGTAGGCAACTTGCCATTCCTGCTGGGAGAGAGAAGGCGGAGAGAGCCCTGCTGGGGAGAGGTTGGGTATTTACACGGTGAAACAGGAAGGGCGCCCCCCTTATACCGTCCCACCGGATCAATTGCAAAACTCCAGTGGCCTTCTAATCTTGTCGCTGTGACTTGCTCTTTGAAGCGAAGAAGATATTGCTGATTTTAAATGTTTCAGTCCTTCCACCTAAGTTTCCATGGAGTACACACAACTCTACAGCCATGGAACAATCACCCACCCCATTTACCCACCCCACGAGGGAAGCGATTATGTTCCAGCATCTATTTTTACACGCTTTTATTTAACTCTCTGTTGTTGTTGTCGTCGTTTCCTCAAATCTTGTAACTAAATTTTAACCCACTTCCCAATGTAGTATCGACTGCAAACTTGGTATACTTATGTCATACTGATGACAATACTAGATTCTATCATAAAAAAAACAAATATTTTAAAACATTCTTTTTTATATGTTATGTTTCGGTTTGGGTCTAATTGTCCACGCTCAACTGACGTTGGCTGTAATTGGCCATGGTCCCTGACGTTGTGGCAAGCTTCGGGGCTACTTCCTGAAGTCGTGGAGTTCTGCCATTACTAGTACATTTCATAAAAGCGTGTTTTATATTACTTATTCCAGTCTTTATTTTATTCAGTTGATGAAAATTAAAGTAACATTACTGTATATTTGCCTAAATCTGTAACCATTGCATCATACACGCACGGGTTTCTGCATGTGTATCATAAGAATATCCTGTATTAGAATCGACAAATCAATGCGTCTGTCCACCGCTACACCTCTATCTCAAACTCCTTACGCCTTGCCTGCGCCTAACTCGGAGAACGTGTTTTTTCGTGGTTTGTGGGCGATTCATTTGGTTCCTGAAATTGCTCAGCGGTCGGCAACCGCAATCAGCAGCAGCAACAGCAACAACAAAAACAAAAAACATCATTCTGCAGCAGCAGCAGCTGAAGCAGAGCAACGTTTGTTAGTCCAGTGGGCGGCTTACCCAACCCAGCACCTGCCCTCTCTGGCAGCCAGCCTCTAATGAATTGTGTCAGGTCGACCGCGTACCATATGCTCGCCACTTTTTACAGCCAATGGCTGAAGTGGGTCAGCGAAGGAGACAGGGGGGGCCCCCCCGAGGGTCGACGTCGGAATGATCAGCAAAAGCCTCGGGGGCGTTGCGGCCACGCTCAAGATTAGCCACTTGAAGCGACGCTTTTTAATCGACCTGTGAGACATTTACGTGACCCGTCAATTGTTTATCATTTAGAAACACGAGCGGCGATCTGTATCGGCAAGGCCCCAGCTGTACGGCACGGTGGCGAGATGTTAACTACCTCGCCTGGTATACAGGAGGTCGTGGGTTCGATCCCGACCCAGACGCATGCTGTATATTTGGAGTTTGCGTGTCTCTCTCCCCCCGTGGCCACGTGAATTTTTCCACGTGGTAAGCCACTCCGTTGAGCTATCAATGATTTGTGGCCAGGTCGCTTCTAAAAAAAAGAGCTAATAGCTCAGTGGGTCTTATCTGCTAAAATAAAACTAAGTTTAGTTTAAATAAAGGATATAATTGTGCTGAATGTACACGTACAATAAATATTCATAAGTTTTATTATTATACGTATTGTTACCGACGTAAAACACTCCACGTATCTAGCGCAGCAGTAGGCCACTGTGAGTTAATGTCTTTTCCAGTTATTAAGTTAGCAGATTGCCCCTGTCTGAATGATTCCGAAAGCTGGGCCGAAGCAGGAGACATCCCATCGTGCCACCTGACAGTTTTTTGAATTTGCAAAGGGGGATGATGTTGAGGATGTCAACCCTCTTGTGGCCAATACCATTCCCTCTAACAGGGGAATCCGAACTGCACTCTGTGGGCACCAACTGCTCTGCTGCATTACTTTAGCAGAGTGCGATCTACGCTGCAAAAACAACGCGCGTAAGGCCCACAAGGCATCAGGGGGATTCCAAAGGCAATCTTGTCAGGAGCAGCCTCGCGATCGGCTCAGGAATCCCACAAATCCCTTCACGGCTCTTTTGCTTTATGAATAAGATAAAATAATATTCATGGATTGCCTCAAACATTCACATTTGGCATTCTTATTGTGATATACACGCTGGAATACCCATCTTGCATTTTTATTATCCTTTAACTCAGCGGTCACAAACCTCTTTGGCACCAGGGACCGGTTTCGTGGAAGACAATTTTTTCATTAACCGGGGGGGGGGGGGGGGGGGGGGTTCATCATTGGGCCTTTCTCGCTTTTTAAAGAAGCTGTCCAGCTACGCTTGTTTTCTACTCATGTTGGCTAGGGGTTAGCAGCTTGTGGGCTTACCAACACTGTGACTGAGACGAGTGCGCAGTGCGGGGAAGAGGCGTGGAGGGAAGTGGTAAATAAAATAATTGGGGCGGGCCACGCGTGGACTCACCGCTCTCACCTCGTGCTGCTGTGCGGCCCGGTTCCTAACAGGACACGGACCGGAATAGCGGTCCGCGGCCCCGGGGTTGTGGACCCCTGTTTTAATATGTAGAATAAAAAAAAATTGCCCGTAGATTATTGTTATTTTGTAGACCTGCACAATAATTCCAGAGATGAAAATTTAATGAACATAATATATACAAATATTCGTTTTTATTATTATTATCATTGTTACACTTGTTTACAACAGGGAAGCCTCGCTGAGTCTCAAGGACCTATTAAAGGAGGGTCCTGTCACGTACTCACAGTACGGGGGTGATGTTACTGCTACGTGTAATTCCCAATGAGTAATTTCCAGGTCATGTTGCAGCATTGGGATGTTTTGACCGATACCGGTTACATTGAATGGTTCTTTTCTTTCACTATGGGAAGAAACCAGAGAGCGTGCACATCCGGGGGAGAACACACAAACTCCAAACAGGAAAGGTGCCGAACTCGGCAATCGGACCCAGGACCTTCTTGCTTGTGAGGAGCACGAGTGTTATCGATATGCCTCCCGAATTTAATAATTCGTCCGATACGAACACAGTGACCGCATCGAGCATTATGAAAACGCAAGCACATGCGTTCACTGCAGTGAACTCCCGCCTCGAAAACTATTTTACCTGGTGCTGCTGCTGCTGCTACTGCCATTGTTTCCCCCCGTGATTTATTTGAGCGCGACGATGACTAACGGCGACTAACGGGCACGTACGAGCGCGTCGGCGCAGGAAGCCGTGGAACAAGAACTGCCATTGTGCGAGACGCGTGTTGTGGTTGTTTTCTTTCGTTGCGACCGTGGCTCGCCGTGGCGTCTGACTTTGTTTTTTTGTCCGTGTGTTCTTCCAGACTCCCTGTACAGGAAACGCCTGTCTGTGGACGGGCGGCAGATGAACCTGGAGATTTTTGACCCGTGCTCGCAGGTGAGACGCCAACGCACGTCGGCACGAACGTCGGCCAACGTTTTGTGACCTTGTGTATTTTACTTGAGTGTGTGTGTATATATATATATGCTCATTTATTATATGGGGAGCGGTGGTGTGACGGTTTGCGCGCCGTTCTATGAAACCAGCGACACGGGTTCGATTCCCCGCTCACACCGGTGATGATTATCTGAACCTGTCCTAGGCCTCCTCCCCTAGGTCGACTCAGCCTCAAATGAGTACCTGGTGCGGTGTGTGGTAAACATCGCCACTGGGGGAGACAAAGGCGGCCCGGCGTGGTGCTGGCCACAGTACCCCCCCCCCCTCGTGTGCCGTGCCGGCCTTCATAGGTGCTCGTTAACAGCACTTGCCCCAACAGTCTGTTAAGGCTATACGGGGGATCTTTGTCTATTATTTATTATACCTTCAGCGCAAATTGAATTGCCACGTTTTTACACGCTTTCATTTAACCAATTCTGTCTGTTGTTGTTGTATCCTCAAATCTTGTAACTCAATTTTAACCCACTTCCCAATGTGGTATCGACTGCAAACTTGGTATACTTATGTCATACTGATGACAATACATATTCTATCATAAAAATAAAATATATATTTTTAAACATTCCTTTTTTATGTTATGTTTCGGCTTGGGTCTAATTGTCCACGCTCAACTGACGTTGGCTGTAATTGGCCACGGTCCCTCACGTTATGGCAAGCTTCAGGGCCACTTCCTAGAGTCGTGGAGTTCTTCCATTACTCGTACATTTAATAAAAGCGTGTTAAAAAAAAGTTTTTTTTAAATATTACTTTTTTTTTGCTGTACGTTGTTTTCCTGGTTCCGCCCGAGTTGACTGTGATGATGAAATAAACGTGCTGGGGAAGAGGGAACCTCTTTTAAGTTCCAGCCCACTGGTGAACCGAAGTACAGTGGCCCTATTTCATGTGTTACCACGGTACATTGTAAGTTCATAATCGTACATTGTTAAAGTATTTATAGTGTTGGAATTTCCATATTCCTATGGTGGGGACATTGCGTTGTGACGGGTAGCACACTGGACTTGCAATCCAAAGAACACCGGTTTCTAAATGAAACTAAACTATTTTTTATTTTACCAGGTAGGGCCCACTGAGCTATGTAGCTTATTTTCAGAATCGACCTGGCTTTAAATTACAGCTCAATGAGGTGGCTTATCACGTGGAAATCTATAGCAGCCAAATACTCTAAATGCATGTTTTTAAATGTGGAGGGAAAAACCGGAGGACCCGGAGAAGAATCCACGCGGCCACGGGCAGAACACGTAAACTACAAATACACAGGCGTCAGGGACGGGATGGAACCCACGACCTCCTGTATACCAGGCGAGGTAGTTAACATCTCCAGGCATGCCAGTCGATATACTGAGGCAAGTTTCTTAAGTCCCCCGTCCATCGCTGTCCACCCAGCTGAATAAATAAGTACACGGAGAGTTACTCCCTCCCCTGCAAATATGCTCCTCCCGATCCTCATCCCTACGATACTCGTCGGGGCTGTGAAAAGCCTAAGTGCTTCCAGCAGGTTCCCTTTGCGAGAGGGGTTTTGCCCCAAAATGTGTTCTTGACCTGCGTTTCCCTCCCCCTGACGGGCGTTTGTATGTTGTGTTCTTGAACAATACAAATAAATAAAAAATGCGCCGAATTTGACAGTTCGGGTGCGATACCTGGCCAACACGGCGTGTAAGAGTCGGCCAAACGAGGCTCTTGGAGGAGGCTTTCTAGAGCTCCCTCTCGTGGGGAGGGTCCTGCCGCCAGCAGTGGCACGAGCAAGCGGCTGCGGGGGCTACACACCAGCACCATCTATGGTGGCGGCCAGGCCCAATTTGCATGACGGGCCACTGTTGACTCGGCATCACGTGACAGAGGCTCACCCAGGTGGTTCTCATTTCGCCGACCCGCAGAGGGGACGGTGGGGCTGAGTGCGAGCGACTCTGGCTGGGATTTGAAGTTCACGATCTCGGCACTGGAAACTTTGCTGCTTCAGTCGGCCAGTTCATGAACGTGAGGATAGATTGGGGGAGGGGGGGGTCATGTGAGGCTGGATGTGTAGAACTGTCACGTGCCGTCACATTCTGTTGAATTATCGGAATGTGAGTTGGTGTTAGAGCAGTTTGATGAGCGTGTCATTTTCAAGAGATATCAAGACGCGGTGCACGTGGATATTGTCTCTTGATGTTTTTATTACGAAAAAATAATGAACAAAAAGCAACAACACAATGTTTCCACAAAAATCAGTTTTGTTGTACAAACACTACAATAGCATTTTGTTATAATCGTGTGCTTGTATTACAACGGCAACACGTGAATGGATTGATTTAAATATGAGCCAGGTTTATAAAAATGAAAATGCAAACCCGTTTTGACCGAACGAAAGCAAGCGTGAATGCCACGTTTGTTACGGCTCGCAGCTGCACGTACCATGCAAATTAAATTGGACGTCTTGGTTAAATTGGCAGTGTTGAATAACAGCCGTTCATCGCAGCACACAGTATTCCATTATTGCCGCTTTCAGATTACATTATCAGTGCGGCGAACAAGCCATCGGTCAACTTGTTGATCTCAAACCAGGAACTCTGCCAGGGCATTGGGGCGGCAGTAGTAAAAGCTCATGGGCAGGCCAGTGTTTACTTATGAGGTGTGTGGGCCCCCGATTAAAGTGAGCCGATTTCCTTCCCTCTGCTGTGCGGCTTTACACCGATCTTGGATCCACCCACACGTGTTTGTGCCAATCTTAGTGAGTGCTGTACTTTATGCACCATTACCACAGCAAATGCAATGCCATTATTACCTACATTTATAGAACACTGTGTGTGCATGTGATTATATGTGGGAGTTGTTAGTGCACTGTGCTACAAAGCAGGCGGCCCGAGTTAGATTCCTGCTCATGGCCAACATTGGTGATAACCTTTCTGAACTGGTCTGGGGATCCTCTCGGCTTACTCAGCCTTAAATTAGCACTTGGTGTTGTGCGTAAATATGGCAGCGGGGAGCCAAGGTGGCCAGGAGTGGTGCTGGCAATACTCTCTCCACGTGCGCCATGTCAGCCTGAATAGGTGCTCGCGAACAACACTTGCCCATATATCCTGTGTAGGCGATACGGGGGATCTTAGTCTTTGTGGAAGTTGTGACAATGTGGTTACTGCACTCTACTACAATTCCAGAAATTCATATGTAATGCCTGGTCTTTGGAAATCAGTTTCTGGATAATATAAGTACATTTCGATTTAAAGCTTTCGTGACTGCATGGATTCATAGTATTGGTTCTTTTGGTAAAGTCACGTAGAAGGTAAATAATAAAGTAATAAAAATAACACATATTAAGAAACAATTATTTATTTTATTTTATAAAATTCTTTATTTTATTTTATCTTATGTTTTTTTATTATTATTATTTTATTATTCCCCTTCTACGTGACATTACCGAAAGAACCAAGAATATGAATATAAGTACACCTTGTTTGGAGGTCAACACCCTGCCTACGGTCAACTCGGCCAGTAAACAAGCCCCCTGTTCGCCATATCAACATTGTCGCTCGGGAAACAGGAGTCGCATTAGCGGCCTCCATGTGCCATGCTGGCCATAATGACAATAGGTGGTTGCTAAAAACACGAGCGTTGACGGTGTGTGTGTGGCTAAATGGGGACTCTTTGCTGTGTCTTTTGTATGAGAAAGCTTCCGATACACTCATGAATGTAACTTTCCTACAATGTTTTGATTTTGTTCTAAAAAAGAAAACGCTACGGAAGCGTGCCACGGAAAGCTTTTAGTGGTGCTTTCTGGTCCCATTATTGCCACTGACATAACCTGTCCCCTCGACTGTGAGGGCCCCATTCTTAGTCGTGGCCTCTTAACACGGATCAGCTCGGGCGTGAGCCGCTCATTTGCTTTCAAAGATACACGGACAGCTTGGCTTAGGCTTGGCTCGTGGGAATTCTGAGCATTGCTGGGACCACGCTCGGAGCCGGCTCAAATTAAACGTGGCGTTAAGCCCGCTTTCTTGAGCCAGTGCCAAGCCTGAGCTGAGCCATGACTTAATACGGTGCTAACCCTGAGGCTTTTTAGCTCAAATACTGACGCCGCCATCTCTGCTGCCCGCAGCTGCGAGAAGGCCGCACGGGCCTGGGTGACCAGGTGCAGTGGGCGGACGGCTTCTTGATCGTGTACGACATCAGCGACAAGGCCTCCTTCCTGGCCGCCCAGTCCCTGGTCTACCGCATCAAGGAGTCCCACCAGGAGCTGTACAAGAGGTAACTCGGATGGTTTGGCTGGATTGAGACTCGACCAGAGCCTAATAAATGTGCCTACAGGCGCTGGCTTGCTTCCAGCGTTTTGACCAAACTGTGATTTTCCATCTCTCTGGAGTAGTAAAAGCCTAATGTATAATCGGTATATTACACGCACAAAATGCATAGTTTTAACACTGAAGTGCGTAAAATTTTATTATATTTGAGTCCGTGCTTGGCGGATTTTCTTGTTTTATTAAGCGCTGCTCAAACCTCTGTTAAAGCTTGCGAGTAGTATTCTGTGATTAAGTGGGCGATGAAGTCAGAAGTGCCTCTGTGCTCAAATTAAATGAGCGTGGGCCGGTGCTCATTTTGGTCTGGACTGTAACGTAATTCCATTCGTAGAATAAGACCACTGCATATTCAAATATCACAGATCTCGGCAGCTATACAAAAATATAGAGGGGGATGAAGCGGGACTTGCAATTTAGTAACTACCTTGCTTTGATGTACACATGAGACTCCCTAAATACGAATATTGCAGGATCAGCCCATTCTAGATTTGAAGCTTTCGTGGCTGCAAGGATTCATACTCTTAGGTTTTTACGGTAAAGTCACGTAGGTTAAAAAAAAGTAATAATAGAAATAAAATAATAAATCACTCGTACATTTTGATGCTGTTTAGCAGGAATGTTGGTGCCATAGAAGTGTACGATCCTGTCAAGTTTCACGTCTTTCGGGCAAATAGTTTTAATGAGAGAGGTCACCAAACGCGCGCGACCCGGGGATGGCTCTTTTCCCCAGTTGAGACCGATGACATCGAAGTGCCCGATAGCTCTCCGCACCCAAATCGGTGCGAAGGGAGAGGGCCCACGCGTTCACCACTGCCGTGCTCACGCGCGCCCCGTGCCCTGCCACGCTGCGTCTGTGCCGCCCCCGAACCGCCCCCCCCCAGCAGCGACGCGCACCCGATGCTCTGCCTCGTGGGCAACAAGCAGGACCTGTGCCACGCTCGCGAGGTCGAGGAGGAGGAGGCGCGCCTCTTCGCGCTCGAGTGCCGTGCGCAGTTCTGCGAGCTGTCGGCCGCCGAGCAGAGCACCGAGGTGTCGGCGATGTTCGCGCGGCTGCTGCGCGCCACGCTCGAGTACTCACGCGACCGCCGGAGGCACAGCGGCTCCAAGTCCATGGCCAAGCTCATCAACAACGTGTTCGGCAAGCGCCGCCAGTCCGTGTAGCGCCCGCCCGTGCCCGCTCGCTGGACGCGTCTGTGGACTCTTGAGCGCCGACGGTGCATGGTGTGCAATGCTGTGGTCGTTTCGTTTTTTTACTTGATTGAAACTTCGGAGGCTTTCATGAAAAGTCACAAAGTAATTGAAGGATGTGGTGCTGCGGATAGGGTTGCCATCCATCCTGGCTGTTTCCAAGGATCCTCATATTTTTCAGTCAGCTATTTTGTGACAGTAAAAGTCCAGGTTTTTTGTCACTTGCGTAGTAACGCACCAATCAAAAGAATGGATTACCATAATTGTGAGATATTCTTCTTCACGTGATATGTCCGGGATTTTTGTAGCCCAGAGGTGGCCAGTGTAAGTGCTGACGTAGAGGCGTTGGGATTGTGGATTACTCTGAGGAAGAGTTCGGTGGTGTGATGGGAGGTGGATCGGTGGGAGGTGGATCAGAATCGGAATCAGAATCTTCATTTGTACTGGAATAATCCGAAGAGCTATGAAGCTCTCTTTCACAGATCTCCAGTAGGATTGTTGGGTGGTGGAGAGGGGAATTGCGCTACGGTGAGAGAACCTGAGCGGACACACTGAGCAGTGAGCTCGTGTATTGGATGTGTGGCACGGAGGAGAGACATTCGATTTTAACGACTGTTATGGCTGGGCAGAGCAGGAAAAGTAGGCGAGCCAGTTTATTTTTACGTGAGCGGTGACGCTAATTTGGTTGCACAGAAGAAGATGTATTAAAAAAAACTGGGTAGATTCTGGCATTTAGCCAGAAATTGGGTGGGGCAGAAATGTTTGCTAAGGGGGGGAGCACTTTATAGGCTAAGCTGGGAAACACCCCAGACTCAAGTGGAGAATTTCCCCTTCAGTTGAGCAATGGAAATTTCACAATCATTTGGGGTGGAGTCCTCTGACAAGAGTATGAGATAGGGCACTTATTTTGAGCAATGGAAGTTAATAAGCTGAGAAAAAAGTCGGATTTGTCTGGAAAAAGAGGAGCACTTTAGACGATGACACGGAGCTCCGTAGGCGAGGCTCGTCGAACACACTTGTTCACCAAAGCTAACGGCAAGAAAGCATATGACCTCGAGGAAAGGAAAGGTCAACAATACCGGGATACCATTGAGCAGGGCAAAGAACAATCAGGACCGAAGCTTACCTGACATTCGAGCCACCCACGTTTCTCGGCAGTAGTTTCCACGACTGCTAGCGGGCCAGAGTGTCCAGTCCGCCGCGTCATGGTCCTTTGAGACAAGCCGGTGCATTGTACAAGCACACGAGCATCATTCGTTCACTTAAGACGAGCGTTGCTTACCCGTCACCGCAGTGCAGCCGCCGTCGCTCTGGACGATGCTTCACCACCTTCGGAGTATTCACTGACAGCAGACAGCAGCTAGGGACTTTAGAATAGTAGACCGAACTTTTGAACTTTGTACGCAGTAAATGGAAGAGTTTTGCAAGCTGGCCGCTTTGCCCCTGTGTTGACGGTCAACTGCCATTAAGAAATGCTTGAATTATAAACCATACAGGAAGCCAGCGTAACACATTGAACCATCCATTCAGCTCATTGTCAACAGCCAGTGCTGGTATGTGCAGGTGTAGAGAACGCACACGCGTGCAGAAAATATTTCTTTCAAAAACGCCACGCTGTCCAGAAACACCGCCCATATATCATATCGGATTGTTGGCCCAGGAATACATTTTAGCACGGTGCTTGGGCAAACCTGAGCATTTGGTGTTGAGTGTTACAGTGGCTTGCATTCTGGTTTCAGGGCTATCGAGCGTGTCTTAAGAGCAAACATGGGCCCTTTTAGTGTCAGTGCCTCTGTGTCCCAGCCCCTACCCACGAAAATCCTTCAATCGCAGTTTCTGGCAAATGCACTGAACTTGTTCTGTGGCTTCATATTTCAAAGGCAGACTGGCATCCTTAAGCGGGCGATAAAGTCTGTAGCATTTCTTCAAATGTTAAGTTTGTTTACTTACCTAATGTTTAGTTTATCTTTATAGGGAAATGAAATCTGAAGCCAAATTTTGCCCTTTTATTTTGAGTCAAGAGTTCAAATGTCCGTCGTCAGCTAATAGTGTCGCGTGAACACAAATCTTGTGTTCGGTGGTGAAGACTAAGCTCACTTGTCACGCAGTCTCAGCAAATGTTCGGGCTGTGAGAATGAAAAGATATTTACTTTTAACATAGCTGGCCTCATAATTTTGTTTCTAAGAGACAGTTCACCGCCTGGGGTTTGTAAGCAGTGTATTTAGCAATACAAATAATTAGATTTCACAGTGATGCTCTATACACTCTACCACCAAAGCCGCCACTGTATAGTTGCAAAGTGTTTCCATAAGACCGTATTGACTGTTCTGACAGTGGCATTCTATACCGATGAGAATTTAAGATTAAGCAAGGTAAAATAATAACAATAATAATGATTTACAGCCCTTTGTCCTCGACTAAGGCTCACGCACACCGTGCCAGCCGTGCGGGTGGTTTGACCATACTTCACCGCGCTGATCAATGTGGGGGTGGTTGGCGAATGGGGGCCAAGGACGACTTCAGATATTGCTCGCCACTGATGTTAGTCACGGGCGGGAATTGAACCTTGCGTCACCAGAGTTAGTTGCGTCCGCCTGCAAACCACTGCACCCCCTCCCCCGGCGTTTTCTTCCCAGATGCTGCCGGCCAATTATCCCTGACTGTCGACTTGGTGAAACGAGCAGTGACATTGGGTCAGCAACTGTGTAATTGATAGAACATCTCATTTGTATATCTGCCCATGTGGACCAAAGCAAAGACCTGCCCATGATGCTGATGTAGAGAGTATATTACGTACGAGGATTCACGTTTTGAATATGGTCATGTCAAGTAAATTTTGTCTTGTTTGGTTGGATGTTTTCTCGGCTCTAAAATACCTATACCGTATTATAAATCTCGACTTAAAGCTTTCGTTACTGCAGGAATTCATACTCTTCGGGTCTTTCGGTAAAGTCACGTAGATAGAAAAGTAATTTTAAAAAATCACGACGTTTCATATATTTCCTCTGCCTCAGCAGTTCTTCTGCTGTATTTTTTCACCTGAAGACGATTGATTGTGTTGCGATCGAAACGTCGTGAATTTTTATTATTATTTTTCTATCTACGTGACTTTACCGAAAGAGCCAAAGAGTACTACTGTATACCGTATTGTTAAAAAATAAAACTCATGCTCAACGTGGTTGCATATGTACGAACACCAATCACGGTTTGATTAACAAGACGATCGGAATTGGCCAAACAGCCCAAGTTTAAGACCTATTCTGAAAATGTCTCCAGGCTTTTACTGGGTGACTAAAATATCGTCACCAATTTAAAAATATGTACATTTTTGAAATATATATAATGATGATAAGATCGCATAGAATTATATGAGCTACTATTAGCGCAAACATCCTACATTTTATTAAATCCCCAAAACATTAACTTATTCGATTCCCATAAATATAAGGCACTTAGGAGCTGCATACCCGGACCGTTCACGACACGTGGCGCATCCAATGCTCTTGTACGGGAGAACGTTCACAAGCACTTTAGGATCTTGCTGTATGGCGCTGTTTTAAGTGCTGGCATCTCTTGCTCATTCACGGAGTTCGTCGGTGTCGTTTTGGGCCCCCGCGGCGTTTTGTGCGTCGATGCTGTTGCTGCCTATCGCGCATTCGCATGGGAAACGCACGTGGGCCCTCCCCCCTCTCTCTCTCGCCCTCCCAACGTAGACAGGGCATTCGAAAAGCTCCCCCCGTCGGCTCTGCGAACAACGTAGTGTTGTTCTACCAAAGAAATGTGGTGGTTTTTTGTTAATTTTTTTTTCCCGGCTGGCGATCGCGTTACAATCGTGTACATACGACACAAACGCCGCACCAAACTGTAGCCTTCGTGTATTTAACAGCATTGCATTTCTAAATGTACAGTGTAAAATACGTGTGACATGTTGCGTGATGATGCTTTGCGTTACTGTTCATAATGTGAAGTTATTTTGTAATAAACATTCTATTCGTCTGTGAACATGCAATCGGTGTCATCTTTTTTAAAATAAACATTTGTTTTTAAATGTCAGCCCTTTCTGTCAATCCACTGCGAGATGAAGGCCGCACCAAATCAAGTCGGTCATGGAGGTTGTTTGTGATACCACATTTTACACAAAGGCAGGTTTGATAACTGGCTAAGACCACAGTAAGTTCTAGATTTGAAGCTTCATACAGTAAATGTAGCTGTGGCGGTCCGACCTGAAGACGGAGACTTGTGTTGCCTCCGAAACGTCGTGATTTAATTGAGTTATTTTCATTTATTAATATTTTATTATTATTTTTTACCTACATGACTTTGCCGAAAAACCCCTAAGAGTATGGACCACAATAAGTATCACCTCGTGGTTTCCAAAAAAAATAACCATGCCTAAGAGAGTCTTAATTGAGCTGCATGCAGCGTGCCTCATAATATCACTACTTCAATTTCGATTTAAAGCTTTCGTGACTGCAGGGATTCATATTCTTGGTTCTTTCGGTAAAGGCACGTAGAAGGGAAATAATAAAATAATAAAAATAAAACAATAATCAAGAATATGAATATCACTACTTCACTTACTCAAGACCGGCTTATTGAACCTGAACCTTGGCCACATGATGGCCCAACACTTTGTGTTGCTTTCTTGGTTCTTTCGGTAGTCACGTAAAATGGAGATAATATTATGTTTCATTTTATTATTTTATTATTTCCATTCTACGTGACTTTACCGAAAGAACCAAGAAGATGAATCCCTGCAGTCACGAAAGCTTTAAATCGAAACGTTGTGTTGTTGTTGAAAAATGCACCCAAGGCCGATTTACAAACGCTTCCCACAGCTGTTAATCATCCTCGCTCCGCAATGTTGGTGCCCGTTTCATAATAAACAAAAAAGAAATACAAGGGCATCTCTTCCTCTCCCGAGTTACCGCGAGGTGCAAGCAAGATGCAGCAGCGCCTTTTTGTAAACCTATCTCCTCTCTCCAGTTATCATTTACCAGGGCACACGCTCGAGAGAAAAAAGCACATTTTTTTGTGTTCCACGCCGATGAGCCCCTTTAAACAAATGTGCTGGCGCTTGCAGACGCACTGGCGGCATTCCCAGCATGAGCAATAACCCAAGCACGCGGAGACGCGAAGCACCAGTCCCTTTGGCAAGACACGACGCGGGGTGGTTCGCATCTCGGCTCGATGTTGAAGTCCAGTGAAGCCCCAGAGACACACTATCTTGTTCCCACGACCATATTCTCTTCTGACACGACTTATTCTGGATCGAGGGCTGTAAATAGGCGAAAGAGCTTTTTGCGTGGTTTTCCAAAGATTTGCTGGGGGACTGAGCCGGACAAACGAGCCGCCGACAAAACCGACTCCTCCTGGGGTTCGTTTTCGTAAACGGAACTTAAAGCGGAATCCGCAAAAAAGATGCGCAAAGCAATGGGGACTTTGCGTTGCGAGTACGCAACAAAGTGGTGTTGGGGGGATGTCGTTTCATGATTTACTCCACAAGTTTGCATGCTATTATTTAATGTTGATTTGAAGCTTTCGTGACTGCAGGAATCCATACTCTTTGGTTCTTTCGGTAAAGTCACGTAGGTAGAAATAAAACAAAATAAATCACGACGTTTCGAACGCAAAACAAGCGCCCGTTCTTCAGGTGAAACTCGCGATGTCTGCTGCCCTGTGAAGAGGAGCTGTCACCAGCAAGAGTTGATTAAAGTTTTTGACGGGCGCTTGTGTTGCGTTCGAAACGTCGTGATTAATTTGGTTTTATTTCTACCTACGTGACTTTACCGATAGAACCAAAGAGTATGATTTAATGGTTACATATAATGTATATTTATTTCAGCCAGCATTGAATGAGCGATGGTACCAGCATGTCAGGTCAGGCAGAGGACAACGCGACCTCTGTTCTGCATCCCCTGGCACTGAATCGAACGTCTGGACGAATGTGCCCAAATCATCCGCTCCCAATCTCATGATACTGTCGAGAAAGCTAAGCTGGCTTGAGCCTGGAAAGTGCTTTAGCGGGCAACCCGCCACGCGTACACCGATGGTGTAGGCTGCGGGGCTACATTGTGGGTATCACAACTGTTGTACACCCACAACAATCGCTCCCTTTATCTACCTACACTATCCAGCGTGAAATATGGTCAAACAACCTCCACGACTTAAATTTCGATTTAAAGCTTTCGTGACTGCAGGGATTCATCTTCTTGGTTCTTTCGGTAAAGTCACGTAGAAGGGAAGTAATAAAAGAATAAAAATAAAACACAATAAAATAATTCTCACGACGTTTCGGCCACAACGCAAGCAGCCGTCCTCAGGTGAAAACCAGGTCCGTCGAGGCGACAGAGTCTGAATCAAACAGCACACGAGCTTGGAGTATATATATAAGCTGGGCGCCTTGACAAAAAAATTTGCATATCAATATGCTAAATTCCTCTTGATATGCAAATTCCTTTGTCAAGGCGCCCAGCTTATATGTATGCTCCAAGCTCGTGTGCTGTTTCATTCAGACTCTGTCGCCTCGACGGACTTGGTTTTCACCTGAGGACGGCTGCTTGCGTTGTGGCCGAAACGTCGTGAGAATTATTTTATTGTGTTTTATTTTTATTCTTTTATTACTTCCCTTCTACGTGACTTTACCGAAAGAACCAAGAAGATGAACCTCCACGACATCACGGTGGTGAGGCCTTCATCCAGCAGTGGAGTGACAGAGGGCTGTACGTGTACATCGTGGAAACGATTTTAGATCTGATGTGGCTACCAGTGCGATTATTTACACGGGAGCAAGTTAAGCAAGTGGTTGCACAGCGACACGATTTTGTCACAACCAACGCGCAGTGTCCATCCATCACACGGCAGCGAACAACCTCTTCTCTTTCTCTTGGTTCTTTCGGTAAAGTCACGTAGAAGGGAAGTAATAAAATAATAAAAGTAAAACATAATAAAATAATTCTCACGCCGTCCTCACAAGAGGACGGCTGCTTGCGTTGTACCCGAAACGTCGTGGGAATTATTTTATTATGTTTTATTTTTATTATTTTATTACTTCCCTTCTACTTGACTTTACCGAAAGAACCAAGAAGATGAATCCCTGCAGTCACGAAAGCTTTAAATCGAAATTTAACCTCTTCCCTTCCCGTCTAACACGTGCTAGGCTGTCGCGACCAACATCATCCATAACACAGGGTGGTTTTGGGTTAGATCTCTTTCTGTTTCTTCCCGACTTGGAGGCCGTCCATCAATTACGTCAGGCGATTTTGGACAATTTTTTACCCACCCCCCTCGTCAGACCCCCCCCCCCTCAAATATGACGTCACAAAGCTCTGCCCCCCCCCCCCCAAATAATAATAAAACATGCTTCAAATCGCTTTAAACTATTGTCATTGTAGTGCGTATTTAATGTGGCGCTGCACTCTGATGTTTGTAGGAGTGTTGCTATGACAATTAGTGTTGTTATAACAATTCTATATTTATTTAAAGTTGCGCATTTTGATGTGACGTCACATTTCTCAAACCCTCCCCACTCGTCACACATCGTCACAAATGTCTGACCCCCCCCCCCTAGGTGCGTGACGTCATTTATGGACGGCCCCTTAGAATTCACTCCTATCTCGATTCCCAACCTCTTCTATCCTAGGTCAATTCCAGAAACCGCTTTTAACACATTTTATTCGTTGCTGACCGCTTGACATTTTGGGACTGCTCAGCAACTGCGGTTTAGTTTTTAAAATATAAATTTTACAAAACCTTCCCTTCGTGTTTGATCTGAAATCATCACTTGCCAATTGTAACCGATTTACTGTCATTCAGTCGCGATCGCACATTGGTGCCACCAGTGCTGGATGAAGCTCGTGCGGGGCCTGTAGCATGTTATAAAGGGGCCCTAAATTAAATAAAAACACGTAAATATTAAAACACACAAATGTTTAACTTGCATAGTAAAGTAATGGTATTTTTTCATTTGCTATACAGCCAGAAAAATACGACAAATCGCTAACCTTAAATAACCAAGTCGTTCATAAAAGTTGAAGGCAGTATAGTACTATAGTAATAGAGCAAGTGCAGAATCACCGAACCGGAATTTATAGCTTGAAAGCATTTAGCGCGGGGCCCTTGAACGTGCGGGGCCCGTAGCATGTGCAGCTACTTTTGCTACGAGGATAATTAATCCGGCACTGGGTGCCACCACTCTGGGTGAGCCTTGCACATGGGCAATGTGAGAAGGATAAGTTCTGAAATCTATGGGTCCATGTGACGAATTACCGTACAGGGTGGTGACGAGGGCATCCTTCAGCATCCAGTGCACTGGTGAAGCACTGCAACGTAGAACCACTTGGGATTAAGTTACAAAAAAAACTACCCTCTAAATGATATAAATGTAAGACACGTTTTGTCCATAAGAGGAGTGCGGTTAGTGTGAGATGACTTGAAAATATTGCACATTAATTAAAACGTGTATATAAACAAAATGTTCCTTTGCAATTCTATTTCACGTTTGGTTGGTGGATAAAAAATATTCCGGAAAAATGTTAGGATGGGAAGATTACATTTTCTTGCTGTGGTTTTCACACCTGATGATGATTGCTTGTGTTGCATTCGAAACGTCGTGAGAATTGTATTATTTCCCTTCTACGTGACTTTACCGAAACAACCAAGAATAGGATGAAAACCGTTTATAATTCCAGGCCTCGACGGCAACTCCAGTCGAAGCGTGTATGTCTACTGCGCAATTCACATTTACAAATAGACCAGATATACAATCGCAGTTTGATTAACGGAAGGTATTTTGGGGATGAGTTCAGAGCCACTGATACAAAAAAAATTACTTCAGAAGAGAGTTCAGCTGGTACTTTTACATTACAGGGAAGTATAAATGGTAACAGAGAGGTTCACAACGCTAGAATTTGTCAAAATGTTTTAAGCAGACGAATTATATTTGAAGCTTTCGTGACTGCAGGAAAGAAAATAAATAAATGTATGTACAATAAATA